TTTTAATTTTTTTTTATTTTCTTTTAGTGATGGGGGCTGTGTTGCGCTGGGTTTAAGTTGTGCTGGCCTCAGTGTTTTCAGTTTAACAGTGCACAGGGTTTGTTGCTGCACCTTCATATCTGGAATACCTAACAATAACTAACAGGAGAGCAGGAGAATTCATACAGGCCTCTCCCCTTCCTTGTGCTTCTCCTTTGTCTACACACGGCTACTACAGACCCTGCCAACTGCAGAACTTAGAATCACAGAATCAGAATCATTAAGGTTGGAAAAGTCCCCTAAGATCATCAAGTACAACCATCACCCAACACTACCATGACCAGTCTGCATGCCTGGGTGTGATGTAGTGCACATAACTGAAGGAGAGGCTTGGCGTGTGTTATTGTCTGTCCTCAACCTTCCAGTACTCTGACCTGCTTTGGAGAAGAACTGACTCTAGGGGAGGCTGTTTCTCCACCAGCAACAGAAGGAGCTGTCGAAATTTTAAATGAGCTTCTGAGTTCACTGACCCCTACTTCCAGCAGTTCTAGGGGAAAGTGGGGAAGCGTTTACAAGCTGCATGTATACGAAGAGCTTCCTGGAAGATCTAGGAAACTAAATCTGGTTGATTTCTAATTGAAATTTGTAGAGAGTAAGTAAAAGATGCTGTTTAGTGTTCAGGATGTGTTTCTGTAATGCCATGGCTTCTTCTTCCAAGCAGCTAGTGATAGGACCAGAGGAAATGGTCTTATTTTGCACCAGGGGAGATTTAGATCACATACTAGGAAGAATTTATTTATTGAAAGAGTGGTGAGGCACTAGAACAAGCTGCCCAGGGAGGTGGTGGAGTCACCATCCCTGGAGGTGTTCAAAAAACATGTGGATGTGGTACTCCAGGACATGGCTTAGTGGCCATGGTAGTGTTGGGTTGATGGTTGAGCTGGAAGACCTTGGAGGTCTTTTCCAACCTTAATGATTCAATGATTCTGTGGATGTTTACCAGAAAGTGCAATTCTGTCTTCTGCTAAGCAAAAGACCAAAGCTGTTCAATAATACACACCCAGCTCTAGGAAACTCAGGTTGTAAAACAAGGTGAAATTCTCCCTGCTTCAGTTTCTAAAACAGAAAGTCTTTTATGCTATCTCTGCTAGCAGTGGTGAAAGCCTGTATGGTTCTGGGAAATCAGATACTAATTTCCTATGGAGTAGGATCTTGTGTAACTAGTCAAAAAATCTAAGAGCTGCAGTAGTAAACCGGCAGTCTTTATAAAGGGAATGACCAATCTGACCTTTTTTAGACATTTCTTTTAGGATAAGATGAATAGTGCTGTAGAAATGTGTCTTTTCACTGACAGAAGACAGGGTGACTGGTTCAAATGCCAGTGCTTGCATTGTCCTATTTAGTGTGTCAGATCTGCTTTTAGAGTAATGGCTACTGTGAGATCAGGGCTGTTCTGAAAAGTACTTAACAATGTCCCTGTGTATAGTTTTTAAAGGAATTGTTTCCATTAAAATTGTTTTTCCAGTGACGGCACAGGCACCTAAGAAACTCTCCATCATGAAAACTGCTGTGACTCTACCTAGCAGTCATGCTGCAGCGGGCTTGGAAGGGAGGAATATCAAGAGAACTGAAATGGAAAAGAAACAGGTGAATAATGCAAAATTCAAATGCACGAGCATGGTGGTTTTTTTAACCTTATTTTTGCCTGGGGTCTGTTGTGCAGATCCTACCTTACTGACATGGAGAACAGTAACATGAAGATGTCCATTTAGGAAATGGCTGCTAGAAGAAAGTTGGGAACAATTGCTTTGTCGTTTATTTGATTCAGCTTCTCTCCCCTTCTGCCAGGTGATCGTTCCATAAAGTAATATCAAAACCAAGCTAATCAAGCTCTCAAGATATGTTTGTTACCTCTAAGGGAAAATGTATATTGTAAAAAATACGCATGAAAAGCATGAGTGACTCAGTTTTCCACTTGCTTTAGTGAGGACTGTGTGAGAAGAAGATAATTTCTTCAGCTGTGCAGGATGTAGCAGTTCATTTGGTCACGTAGACAGAATGAGTGACTATGAAAAATTTGCCAAAAAGTAGCTTTCTGAGAATAATTTTTTTTCTCATGACAGTAGAAGGTCAAATTCTTGGCCAAGGATGAAAGAGCACATGGAATCCACCTAATGTGAAATAAAGACTTTAGGTCACTTCCCGTTTAGGTGTTGTTTTCTATTGCTGTACTCTTTATCCCTGCATTTTTTCTAATGAACATTGACACACCATTTTTAATTTTCTTTTTAGGCATTATCTGTTGGTTTTTGGTCATCTTAAGTAAACCTATGCTCCAGCTACTCACCTGTTTCTGTTCACTAACTTCTTGAAAATTGACTTCTCGTGAGAAGCATGGTGATACTTTTCTTTGTTAATAAAAGTTACTATCATAGCATTACAGTCAAAACCAGCTCTCTATCCTAGTGCTATCTGGTTGTGACTGTTCATATATTAAGTTATAAATTATTAGCCAGTGACCACACTTTTTCTTGTGCTTTCCTTTTCTTGATTGCATCAGTTGCAAGGTCAATACTGACTTTGCTGATAGCTCTTTTCATATAATTACTTTTTTAATTTTAACTGTTGAGTAAGGATGCTTCAGAGATGCATACTCAATGTCTTTGCTTATGAAGGATTGTAATCCTTGATTAATATTATTGAGAAGTTTCGGTTTCTCAGCTTCTAAGACAAGGAGGTAGGGTCAAGAAAGGTGGACTAACATGTTTGTTGACTGGTACCTTGTAACAATTGTAATCCTGAAGGTCACTGGATGCTAAAAAAGACTGTGCTTTTACACCAGTCTGGGAACCCTGGTCCTCAGGACAACCACTTTCCTTTCTAAATAAGCAAAGTAGTCTGGAAAATCCTCCTTTCGATAGCAGTGCTTCCTTCCTTCCTGCCTCCCTTCATGGTCTAGTTGGAGAGTCTGTGAGTTTTAGAATTATTAAAATACACAACTCAATGGGTTTAGTAATCTTAGTTGAATCTACACCTGGTAGATTCTACAGAGAAACTAAATAAAATATTTCTGTGAGATGGTAAGAACTGTCTTTGAAGTAATGTGTGTAAAGGATTCTTTGTAACATCTTTTAAAAAGTGAGTGTATGTTATTGTCTTCACTCTTAGTCATAGCATCATATAATGGTTTGGGTTGGAAGGGACCTTTAAAGGTCATCTAGTCCAACACCTTGCAGTGACATCTTTAACTTGATCTGGTTGCTCAGAGACCCATTCTTCCAGGGATGAGCCATCTACCAACTCTCTGGTCAACCTGTTCGGGTGTTTCACCACCCTCATTACAAAAAAATTTCTTCCTTATATTTAGTCTAAATCTCTTTTAGTTTAAAGCCATGACCCCTTGTCCTACCACAACAGGCACTATTGAAAAGCCTGTCCTCATCTTTCTTGCAGACCCCCTTTAAGTACTGAAAGGCTGCAGTAAGGTCTCCCCAGAGCCTTCTCTTCTCCAGGCTGAATAACCCAAATTCTCTCAGCCTGTCCTCACACGGGAGGTGCTTCAGCCCTCTGGTCATTTCCATGTCCCTCCTCTGGATCCACTCCAACAGGTCCATGTCCCTCCTGTGCTGAGGGCTCCAGAGCTGGACACAGTGCTGCAGGTGAGGTCTCAGGAGAACAGAGCAGAGGGACAGAATCACCTCCCTCAACCTGATGGCCACACTTCATTTGATGCAGCCCTGGATATGTTTTGCTTCCTGGGCTGTCAGTGCTCATTGTTGTTCATGTCCAGCTTTTCATCCAGCAGTACCCTCAAGTGCTCTGCACGGCTGCTCTCAATCCCTTCATCCCTGAGACGGTACTGGTACCGGGGATTGCCCCAATCCAGGTGCAGGATCTTGCACTTGGTCTTGTTGAACCTCACGAGGTTCACATGGGCCCACTTCTCAAGCTTGTCCAGGTCCCTCTGGATGGCACCCTGTCTCTCAGGCATGTCAGCTGCACCACTCAGCTTGGTGTCTGCAGATTTGCCAAGAGTTCACTTGATCCCACTGTCTGTGTCATCGATGAAGATATTAAATAGCACTGGTCCCTGTAGAGAGCATGTGTCAGTCTTTCATCTCTACAGTGAAGTGTCTTACTTAGAATTACACTGTAACTTACAAGCAGAAGTTCATTTAGAATGAAGATATTCAGAGTTCTGTATCAAGGGCCACAACCATTTCCTGGAACTGTGATGCGGGGGTCTTTATGAGAACATTGTGGGATGACCAAAATCCAAGTTCTTAAAACCATTTGGAAGACAGTCTTGGCTAAAACCGTGTAAAAATCTATTAATTTTCTTAGATGTTGTAATTAGTGACTACTTAATTTGTGCTGCCTGGTAGTATGAAGGGATGGGATATATTGAAAATAACATCTCACATACCAGTGAATGCGTGTGGTCCCTTTGTGGGAGAAACGTCATCCACAGAAATGTCTGCATTTATTTTAGAAAGACACAGATCCAAGCAGACTGATTAGCTTTCTGCCAAGCTGTCTGTATAAATCATACAGAAACTGCCTCTCAGGGCTAAAGGCCTGCTGTAGAGCAGCTGAGAAATATATAAAGTAGGAATGCCTTTTTTTTTTTTCCAGCGATGTTTTTGTAAGACATTTCGTATCATAATTGCAAGAGGGTTTTGAAGAAGAGTAACACTGAGTGTGCTTGAAGGATAGATTTTACAGGCGTTGGAGCAAGAACTTACCAATCTTAAGTGAAAGGTAAAAACATCAGCTGCATTTCCACATGACTGTAAATAAAGAATTTCAGACCAAAGAGACAACTGGCATCAGAACATTCAACTCGGTGAAGACTGTGAAGAAATGCATATTACTAGGAACTGGTAAAGAGCTTCATATTCTGTGTGAGCTGATAGGAGCCTTTGCCAGAATCTTGGATAAAAGCCTGAGCTAATGTTTTTCAGAACAACAAAAAGTTTCAATAACAATTCAGATCTCCTTTTTTTATGTTTTTTTTTTTTTTTTTTTTTTTTTTTTTTTTTTTTTTTTTTCCCTGCTGCATCATCTGTTTCTTTGACACCCAAGGAAGTTATAAAGTAATTAAAAATATCTTGTTCTCCTGAGACACCTTTATATATATTTTCAGTTTCATATTGTAGTACTGATTTAAGGAATAGGCTCATGGAATACAGGCTTGGGACACTGGTTTGAGAGAGGACTCTGATATCCAGTAGATCTCACAATGGAACCAGTGCCTCTCCAGTGTATGCACCACAAAATGGATCTTTCCTCACAGAGCCAGCCTGAGGCATCACATTGACTGTTTGCATGCAGAAAACATGGCATTGCATGCTGGTAAAATTAGCCCAAATGCCAATTCAGGAGAGGACAAGAGTGCACTAGGGTTTGGTAGGTGACTTGTGGTAGAACCTGCAAATGTACATACGTGGGACCACTTCCACTGGTAAGGTAGGCTTGTTCGAACAGCGTTGTTAAAGTTCGTGTGATCTTTAGCAGTGAATTGGTGTGTTATGGAAGAAAAGATGGTGGCTCAAGTTAGAGTATGTGATTTGGGCACTGGTACATGGTGCTTGTTATTGATCTCCCACCCAAGAGACAAGCTGTTTTGAAGCTTTCATGTAAGTAGTGTTGAGGCCTTTGATGGGATTTGTGTTATCCATTATGCTTAAATATGTTTTTCAACAGATTTCTTAATTCAGTCATGTTTTCAATTCAACATATTGGCAGAAATGTCCTTCTCAGCTTCCACTGCTCCAGGAGGTTGGATGTAGCATTGCACAAAGTGGTGATGTGAAGGTCTGCCAAAATACCCATTGCATCTGGGAAGGTATGTTCCAATATAGCAAATATTCTCATGCACTCTGAACAGTAAGGTACAGCAGGCTGCACCTGCACTGGAAAAGCAAGTAACATCAACCTGTTCCAGCAGGTGTTACAGAATGATACTGTGTTACTATGGTATGCTGGTGTCTTTAAACCATTGATTTCTCTCAGGTTTTCAGTTAGAGAACTCTAAAAATACTCTAGGGTTGCACTGCAGAATAGGCACAGGCTGTGTATCATATGAACTGCTGGGAACAAGGCAGTGCAAGACATGCAGAGATGGTGGGGTCTTGTTGCTCCTCCCTGTAGAGAAAGGTAGCTGGAGCAGACTGTCCCTAGCATCACCTCTGGTTTCTTCTGTGGAGGAGTTGCTTAATTTGCTCCAAAACATGCCCTAGGAATGCATGAGCATAAGTGAGTGTGAAAGATCAGGCAACCGAAAAACAGGTGGGATGTGGGGAGCCAACCTGTGAGATAATACAGAGAGTTAATAATCCTAGAGTTATTCAAGATACTTGAATACCGAGAGTTTATAATCCCAGAGTTATTTGAGTATGAGGCAGTTCATTAAATTACCAGACCAGTATGTGGTTGTGCTCTGTCATGGACAGTTGATTTGTTTTGGTGATCTGGCTATTTCTGTGTATGACGGGTTATTGCCAGCCAGGGCCTGATGCATGCTTGTGTAAAACCAATAAGAAACAGCTTCTGTAGGAATACTGAGTTCAGCTCCTGTAGAAGAATTTGGGGGCTATGATTTATATATTCTTCCGTTGTTCTTCATGCAAATAAGACTCATTTCAGAGCATTAAGTAGCAACAGTATAGGGTTTAGTCACAGTGTTTTTTTTCTTGGTGGCAAATGAATACAGATATCAGGAATACCACATTTTATTCCACCCACCCACTGTTGATTGAGTGGTCTAGTGTGACAGTACTGACTATTTACCACTTCCTGAGTCTCATTTTGAGAATGAGAGCCAAAATCCTGTCAAGAGTCAGAGATGCTTGCTAATACTCAGGCAAAATAACACAAAATGGTGTAATGACACTTCATTTCTACTAATTAAATAGCCTGTTATGCATGTTCATGTGTCTATGAGGTAGGTGAATAGAGCTCAAAGTGTGTTCAGTATGAATTTGGTATAGATTAATTACGCATGAGAAGAGAAACTTAAGATGAGTAAGAGTTTATTTCATCCTTTATATCTCACTGCTTAATACCAACTGCCAACATCAAAGACAAAAAACGTTTTCTGAGTTTTTCAGAAATGCTGTCTTTCATTCAACTGTTAAAATGAAGTGCCTCAATTTTCTTGAATTGTCTTACTTGGCTAGGTTCAGAAGTGCTTGGTAAAGTTTTCAAAAAAAACCCCAGGTATCTACGTATTAGAAATACAGATTTCTCTGCACAGAGAAGTCTGATTTCAGTGACTTTAGACCATTTCAGGGTTAGAACACAGTGTTGGATACCCCACTGGACAGATTTGCAAGCTTGCTTGATTTTTTAACTTCAGGAAATTTTAGATACAGAAGAAAATCACTGTGGTCTGCCTCTTGCTCATCTTTAGTCTTTATTTGGAGAGCAAGGGTGTACCACAGCTGAGAAGAGAAACATTTGGTGTCTGGCAGAAACAAATTTTGGATTAGGGGAGAAGATTCAGAATGGACTAGGAAAGGACTATGTGAAATAAGTTCTCCACAGTTCATCACTGGACTTCCATATAGGATGTTCATGTGTGTATTTAAGTTACAGAGTACAAAAACTTTGTCAGTGTTGACAGAGGCAGTTAATTGTAGAGATAAGTAATGCCTTCTGCCCATGAAACTTTTGATACTAATTCTAAATGCTCCTTTCTGGAGAATAATTAAAAAAGGAGGTCCAAATACAGAGAAAAGTACAGAAATGTGAATCTCTAGCTTTCTGCTCTGTGATAAGATAATTTCTTATGCGTAAAAATCTAGCATTAAATAATTCTTAGTGATAATGATCTGGATTTTTTTCTATAGTGTTTAGAAGTCTTTGCAGCATAATGTGGACAATGACCACAAAGAATGACTCTTCTGCTTGCTCATACTTGTATTTGCTTTTTTTTTCCTCACGTAGGTGTTGCCAGAAGCTTAGTGTCCTGTGATCAAATTGCATGTGCATTAGAAACCTTTTCCTGTGGTTAGGTATTGATGGGGAGACCTTTTGGTGGGAAATTAACACCAGAAAGCAAAAAGGTTAATTGCTGTATGAGAGGGTTTTAAGTAAGAGAGCACATATGAAATATTCTGCTACAGACAACTTTTGACAGAAAACTAAGGTGGAAAAGAAAACCATGTTCTGTATTGAGAAGTGATGCAATTTAAACAAAACATAATGGACCTTACTGTCTGTTCTAGCTGACTAAATGCATGGAGACTTGAAAGAGGTGGTTAAAGGTGGCTTTCACCTAGTTTAGTGTGTCTAGTGTTTTGAGCCTACCCAGGAAAAATTAGGCCCTTCTGGCCTCCTCTGGACCATGGAAACATCATTCTAGTGAGAACGTGAAAGGCTTAGGCCTGAGAAAAAGTGACGGTGTTTTGCATTACTGATTTGTGTGTGATGAATCTTCAAACACAGGATGCCGAGAGGGGACCTGGAATGAGTTTAGAGCTGTTACCACCATGAAGCCTTCAATACCATTGGAACCAGAAGTGAGGCTTCATATCACTGGCTTGCATGATGATTACTGTGAGTTAATTTCTCCTATGTGGTGTGTTTTGCGGATTCTGTAAATTCTTTGTGAATTCTTGTGTATGTTTCAAGAAAGATGGCAAAAGTGTGTGACATCAGTGATGTTGTGTATGATTTGATGATAGATGCCTCCTGCACTAAATTCTCACATCTTTGGTGGTGCAGGGGCAAAACGTGCACAGGTTACAGGTGAACGTCCATAGGTCTCTGGTCTAAAGCAGCAAATAAATGTTTTAACACTCCATAAGATCTAACAAAGGACTCTGTATATACAAGTGTTCACAAGTGCCCCTGTGGAATTTTTTTCATAATATCCTTGCAAGTGTTCATGTATACCTATGAACAGGACAGAGGTTTGTTTCTATGATTTACACTGGTGTTTTGCCAATGACCAGGCCCAACAAAAATGATGGCACCAGCAGGAAGATGAACCAATACACAGACTGTATTGTGAGCAAAAGGACATTCCATGAATGATCACTGGGGGTACAAACAGATCAATCAGCTGGTACATAATTGACGCCACCCCCAACGATCCCACAAAGGATGTAACTCCGCCCACAACAGGTGGTACAAACAGTGAACCAAGGGTTCCCACAGTTGGTATGGGGAACAGCCAGACCAGCAAGTTAAACATATAAGAAAAAGGTGCCTACATGGCGACTCTCACCCGATCAGCCCGTGGTCACAAAGGTCTAAACAGACTGGGGCCCAGCTCCAGGAGAGTCAGGAGGTCTGCCCTGAACCAGGACACTCTGTGGAGTGCACCCCACAGACAGACACTCCTGACTCCCTGCAAGTGGTCCCAGCTCTTATCCCCAAGCAGACACCTGACCTTTGTCAGCTCAGTGCGGGACCCCTGGGGCTCATTTCCCTTATGGCTCTCCCTGCAGGGCCGGCCGCACCCTGGAGGGAAGCTATAAGGCAAACTCACCTCCTCTTTATGAAGGGCTGTGGGAATCACTCATATGTCAACCTTAATTTGGGGGCTGGGGGTTCAAACCCCAGCATTTCAATTGGTTGTGCAAAAGGTATTTGCCAAGAGTAAGGATTAGCAGAAGTCTTTGAAAGGGATTTCTGGATGGAACAACAGGGACTGTAGTCAAACAGCTGATTAATTGATTCATCCATTCTTCAGAGTGATTTTAGTTACCAAAACATGATGTCAGACCTTGCCCTGGTGTAACAGTCTTCTGTGCTTCAAGTGTCACACAAAATTACTTTTAAGCTGCCCTGAATGGATAGCTGAAAATTTCCTTTGAAGTGGGAGAATGTCCTGGGTTGGTATTAAATGTTGTGTATCAACTTCTTCTGGCCTACCTGACAGAGCAGGCTGTTCTGTCACTGACTGCTGCAGTGACTTGCTTTGCCAGGATCTGCAAGTGCAATGTGCTCAGCATCAGGGGCAGTGTCAACAGTATTTCCACCATACACTTGCTGAGCAGCCTCTGAAGGTGAGGTGCAGAATTTTCCTAATTCCCTTCTGTGCTTCGTCCCCTACTATGTCCAGGGCAAGTATTATTAACCTCAGGATATAGGACAGACTGTAGCATATAGGCTCTCTCCTGTGTCTTTCTCAATAGCAACATTTACCTTGGAACAAGAGTGCATTTGGAACTGTAGCTGTTGGTGGAGGAGCCTAACTTCTGTTGGCAATCCGAAATGCAGGGTGACAGATGAAACAGTTCTAGTGGGGAAGCTGTGAGTCAGATCCTGCTGTGCAAACATACCTGTTCATGGAGATTAAATCTCTGAAGACCTTAGCTTGGTAAAGATACTCTCCTTCATGTAGGAGGAATACCTGCTAGTAAGGGTTTTATGGAAGCATTCTCTTGAAGTTTTTCCATAGATATTAAAAAAAAAACCCAAAAACTCTCTCCCCCAAACCATACCCCCCTTCTATTACCTACAATTTTTTTTTCAGTAATTTTTAGTTTTCTTCTAGATTTAAACATACTGGACTGGAGCCTTGAAAATCTCATTGCTGTTGCTGTAGGACCTGTTGCACACATCTGGAATGGAGGAACTCTTCAAGCAATTGCGAGCATTGATTTGAATTCTAGTTCCAAATACATTTCATCCCTGGCTTGGATAAAAGAAGGAAGTTGCCTTGCAATTGGCACCAGTGATGGAGAAGTGCAAGTACTAGATAATTTGCTTTTTTAGTCTTTCTTATTTTTTAGATGAAGTGGTCACAAGGCAATTTGTTACTGATTTTTTTTTTTTTTGGAAATAAAAATGATTGGCTAAATTACAGAGGAACTCTACTGGAGACAATATATACCACTTCCCTGTGTCATGCTGCACTTTACTGAACAGCTTAGTGACAGCCTGTGTTATCTATATTTAATGGAGCCTCTGAAGCCACTAAAAAGCTGATCACTGAATTACACAGAATTTTTTTTCTGCCAGTAAGAGGAAACATTTAGTTAAATTGTTGTACTCACTGCAGGCTATTTTTTCTTGTATCTCTCTTACTATGATCACTCTAGTGATCGATACCTTGAGAACTGAATCCAAAGCTCTCCTTATGGATTCATACATGAAGATTTGCCTTCAGTCTGTTTATACACGTACCTCTCAGCCTGCTGCTATAGGACAGTCCTATCAAAAGACTTCTGTGGGAATTTGGCTGAGATGCTAGGTAATATCAGGACCTACCTGCTGCAGTCCTGAGTCAGCAATCTAAAGCTACTGAAGGCCAGTGCTTTCAAGTATGGACTTCCAAATACTGACATGTAAAGACATAGCTCTGAACTCAAGGATGTGTATTCTCTTCAATCCTATCTGAATTCACCATCACTGATGTGGGTGCCAAAACTGGGAAATACTCTTTCTTGCCTCACTTGTGAAATAGATGAACTTGAGGTTGTCCATATGTCAGGTTAAAACTGGGCAGTATCTTACTTGCAAATAAAGGAAGAGAGCAAAAAGTATTTTTCTTTTTGTCGTTAAATTCTTATTTCTTGTTTGTTTTGACTGGCAGCTGTGGGACATTGAAACCAAAAAGAGGTTGAGAAATATGTTTGGTCATCTGTCTGTAGTTGGAGCTCTGAGCTGGAATCATTATATTCTGAGCAGGTGAGTGACATAGTATATTCCCAGAAAGAGTTCTGCTGCTTTTACTTAGACAAATGTCCCATTCATTTTAGCTGTTTCCTTTGGCTTTGCTCAAAGGTATTTTGCATTTTATCCTGTCCCTCTATTTATTGACCACCTCAGAAATCATATGTAGATTTAGTGTATGGCAGGAAAACAGCCAAAGGTGATTTATCCTTCCTCTCTAGTCTCTGCTTCTTTCTCTCCTTCCAGAAAACTGTAACTGCTTGCAGAATTTCCCTAGGATATGGAGGCTCTGGTTCTGGTTTTGTGCAAAGCCTGAGCTTGAAATGAGGTTGTCTCTAGTGGGTCTGGACTCAAAAAGTTGTAGCCTGCCCAGTGCTGGGGTGAGTGCATGTAGTTTAGACTTCCCTTCCAGTGATGTCAAGACTGCATCTGTCCTTTTGGAAGCACAGTGAAACACAGCTGCTAAGAGTTACGCTCCTCTCCAGTCATGTAGCTACAAGGAAAGGCCAGCTCTTTGCTACCCACAACCCAAGGAGTCTGAAATGGTTGACCTTTGCTTTGCCAAGGTTGAATTTTATACCAGATGGCAAATATTTTATATTTAGGGATCATTTCAATATGGGAACTCAGATGAGGAAGATGGAGTATAGTATACTCTTTTGTGGTTTTCTTTCCTCCCACTTTCTGTTTCACACTTGAAGGGGCTGAGGGGAGACTTGTTTATGATAGATGCTTATATGATTTTAAAAATCATATGATAGTCTTGTCTTTTATTTAAACATAGAAATAATTGGGTGGACTGACTTCATTATTAAACTCAAAATGAAAGTAGTATCTATCTTTGGATATGAACACTAGAGGTAGTTTTATATTGAATTCACAAGATGCTCAGATGTTTGATTGTAATAGGTCTGTTAGGTGGAGTGAGGTAGAAGGATACCAGCAGAACAACCAGTTGATAAGATGCTGGGGGGGATTAAGTTACAACGATGCAGCTGGAATGTCCTGACAATGCCAAGTGGTGCTACAGTAAGCATTAGTTTCAGTTTGCATTTCACCTTGGCCAAAGGAGTGAAAACAACAGGAACTTGTATTGCAGATCTCTCTGAATAGAAATTGATGATAAAATTCAGCATGGACCTGTGAAATACAGTTATGACTGATTAGGTTGAGATAACATGTATTTCACTTGCTTGGTTTGAAACTAACCAGTTCAATCTAATGTTAGGACAGAGTTAAAATATCTGTATAAGCAGAAAAAGGTGTGGAGTTAATATTCAATGTTATTGAAATAAGAGCAGTGTTCATACAGTAAACTTCACTGTGGACAGTTGATACTCCTGTGGTTAAAAACAGTCAAACAGCATATCTTCATGAACCCGTAAATAAATTTCAGTACTGAAAATTAACTCATTACAAAATTTTGTTCGCTTCTCTGCCTTTAGCAAAGCACATGCCAAAAGCATGTCTCCTTTTGTCAAAAAGCAAATAATCCTGATTTCTTTTCATGCCAAGTGGAAAAACGTCCTTTCAACCAGGATTCTCAAGAGCTCAGTTCCGCCCCACTCATATCACTACAATCGCTGAAAACCTTAATATGGCAAACACTGACAATTCAGTTATGTTTCTCATAGTGTGGTGGGTTGACTCTGGCTGGACAACAGGTGCTGAGAAAGCCATTCCATCACTCACCTTCTCAGCAGGATGGGGTAGGGGAGATAACAAGATGGAAAATAAACCCCATGGGTCTAAGATAAAAGCAGTTTAGTGCAGCAAAAGCAAAGTCTGCACGTGGAATCAAGGAAAATGAAAGATTTATTCTCATCATCAGCAGGTGATGTCCAGACACTTCCTGGGAAGCAGGGCTTCCGTATGCAAAGCAGTTGGCTCCACAAGACAAGTGTCCTAATAATGCATGCCCCCAACTCTTTCTCTTAGCTTTTACTGCTGAGCAGACGTCGTATGGTATGGAATATCCCTTGGTCAGTTTGGGTCAGCTGTCCTGGCTGTGCCCTCTCCCACCCCAGCCTGCCAGTGAGGGGGGAATGCTGGACAGACACCCTCGATGCTGTGCTGGCACCCCTCAGCAGCAGCCAAAACGCTGGTGTGTCATCAACACCTTTCTAGCCACCAGTGCACAGCACACTGCTGGGAGAGCTGCTGGGGAAAAAATTAACTCTCTCAGCCAGACCAAATACACTTGGTTAGATTTTCTGCTTATTATTTAGTAGGAAAAAAAATGTATAAATCTTCAGGAGGGAAATGATCATACCTTTGCTGATAATGCACATATCGTCCTCTATTTTCCATAAAGATATGCTTCATTTTCACTGGAGCACTGTTTTATTGGAACCTGTGAACTTCAGGACTTTAGCAAGTCCATAATACGAGGGAAACAGAATGGCATTTCTTGAAATCAGTCGGTTTTGTGTGTGCATTTTTAGCGCTTCCAAATCATTCAACTCTGAAAAATCTTTAAGAGCCAGTATGGGAAAGTCTCCAGTCATTATTGCCCTAAACTAATGTACTGCAGTCATGTCAGTTATCTGTTTCTGATATACCTAGAAAGTTGGTACTGAACATGCTGATTTTTTTTTTTTTTTTTTGAGTGTCATTCAGTTGGAAGAGTGAATTTCCAGCAGGAAACTCCTCTGTTTGCTTATAGATTTAATGTAAGTAATATCCTTAGAAAGGCAGGAAAAGAAAATGCGCTGCAAGGCATTTTCAATATTTTCAGTTCAACTCTACTACTGAAGTGTAAACCCCCTGTCTGGGAGCTAAGCTGTAACAGGAGCTGTGCTTCCAGGCCATGTATTTCTTCCTCCCTTTGGTAGACTGATGGTATTGGCTGTAGAACCATACAACCCAACAGGCAATTAGTGCTACAGTGTGAAGCTATGCAGGCTTTGTTTGAGCCTGGAAGTGGGAAGGGGGAAGGAGGCAAGGGAAGGAAAAGAACCAAAGAACACACTGTCGCTTGCTAGTAAGCCCTTTCCCAGAGCCATTTTACACTGTCTGTTTATTGGGTGTGTAGTCATACCTAGCCTTGGCAAAAATCATCTTGCAGAATGATTTTTCACAGAGAACAGGAAATAGCTTACATTAAATGTCTTGACAGTTGAACAGGGTGCAGATTAGTGGCATACAATGCAACATGTCTTCAGTGAAGGGAAAACTATGAGAGGGACAGGTATTCTGCCTGGCTTGAACCGAGCAGCTGCTTGTCTTTCTGTCATCAGCCAACTCTGCAGTCAGGGTGTGCTTTTGATAGTTGGTTTGTGTTACCTTTTACTGAAATACTGTTGTTCTGCAGACACATTTCACTCTGATGTGGTTTGCTTCTGAAACCACTGAAGAAACGGCAGTATAATGATGTAGCTTGTCCTCTTCAACGTTAAACCCAGGCTGTCTTTTCTCATCTACAGCGGCTCGCGACTAGGATCAATTCATCACCACGACGTTCGAGTTGCTCAGCACCATGTTGGGACTCTTTGCCAAAACAAGCAAAGCATTTGCAGCCTGAAATGGTCACTAACCAACCAGTTGCTGGCAAGTGGGTCTAGCGATGGTATATTGAATATCTGGCCTGGTGACCCTGGTGTGAGATTGCAGTCACAGCCACTGAAAACCATACCTCACGTCTCAGCAGTGAAGGTACATGGAGAGGGGAGGACTGCTTTTCTGTATTTGCTCTCCTGGAATTGCTGATGTGGACAGCTAGGGAATTTTTCAAATTATCTCACTGATATCTGCTAGTTTCGTCTCCTGGTCTGTGATGCAGTTAATTTTAAGACCATTTCTCTTCATTCCAATTCACAGACAAGTTTGCGAGCTATTAGATTAGGAAATTTTCTGAATTAGGAGGCCTTTATAAGTACAATGCCAAATAAAAATAAAATTTACATCCTGCTCTGTATCTCTACCTTGTACAGAAAAGTTTGGTGGTGCAATACTTAGAAGTTAACAAAAAAAATCTTTCATTTTTTTGAGTTTTGGAAAATTCTCTCTGCTACAATTAATTTAAATATGAGGTTTCTTTCACCCTTTTGCCCAGACATCCATGTTATTGCTGGTTGCAAATAATCTGCAGTAGGAAACAGGAAACATTTTAAACTGGAGACGTTTTAAGATTCATCATGTTCATGAAGTCCCAGTCTGTGTGGGAGAGGACAAGCACTAGCAGTAGGAGGCAAGGGATTCCAGCATTTAGAGGCTGTTTGTCTTTCCAGAAGAGTCTGAGACTGGCCTGGAGCACTAGGGTTGAAGGGTCAGAGGCGTTTACTGGAACAGATGGAATTGAGTTCTTAGTAGCTTTTCTTCAGATAGAGTCTGGGCTTTAGGCATATCCTGGAAGTAGCTAGGGAGAAACCAGCTTTCTTGTAAGCCCTGCAAGTCACATTGCTTGGGCTTCTGTAATGGCTTGGCTCGGGCAGTAAGACTATCCTGCTGGGTTCCTCTGGTACTGAGGTGTGAGTCTGTGGCCTGTGAAGGGTAAGCAGAGAAGCTGGAGTTTTATGAGTGTACATGGGACAGTGTAGGCTACTGTGAAGCAATGGCAAAGGAAGCAGCAACTGGAGTTTTGGCTTCCTTATTGCTCTGTATGTACATTGTAGGTGCTTTTTGCGCTTTATTTTTCCAATGAGGCTTTTAAGCGAAAATACTATGTTTTTCCAGCTAACCTTGTAATCTGTTCTGGTATCTATTTTCTTGTTTTTCTAGGCTATGAACTGGTGTCCTTGGCAGTCCCAAGTCCTTGCTACAGGGGGTGGGATGAAAGATGGGATTTTGCGTATCTGGGACATAAATTGTGAGAAAATCATCCAAAGTGCAGCTACAGATTCTCAGGTGAAATGATGAAATGTCTGCATACTTAGGCTCTGCTCTCCTTGTGCAGGTGTGCTCACCTGGCAAACTCCCACTGACTTGGCGGGTGGTTCTGCGGCCAGGGGCACAGCAGGATCTCCTCTGGGTATGCAGTGGTGCTCCGTTCGGCACCGCCGTGTGTGATGGGACCCTGCAGTCTCTTGTTTCTCATTCACTATTTCTGTCTCCACACGAATGATTGAAGAGGAGGTGGTCTTGTGGCCAGACACTGCTCGTCATCTTTTCCTTATTGGCAATAATGGTTTTGGCTAAAACTCTCGATGTGGTGAGAATTTTCAGGGGGAGGGGAAAATTCCCAGAGTGCTGGGGTGCGAAGAGGTGTAAGAGTCAGAGGGCAAACATCTGTCTCTGTGTTTTGAATGTTAGGAAGCAGAGGGACAGATTCTCAGCTGGAGAAAAGCAGCATTATTGTTGATTTTCCTGGAGCTATTACAGCTTAGCTGAGGATGTGGTTGAAGGGCTCTGTTTTTATACTGACAGGCTGTTACTGTGTTTAGCTAGGACAATAAAGCAACTGTACTTTGAAGCGTTGTGAGGAATTAAATGATCCTCCTAAATAGGTAAATATTCTGCTAGGACTACTTCTCAGTAACTTGTTTAGACATTATAGATAACATTTTAAATCTACTCAGTGGTGTATGTTGACCCTTGCTGAAAACTAAAGCATCATTTTAAATTGCAATAGATTTGTTCCTTGGTCTGGTTACCCAAAACCAGTGAACTGATGACTGGACAAGGCCTTCCTGGAAATCAGATGAAAATATGGAAGTATCCCATGCTTGTCAATTCATCAGAACTCTATGGCAAGTATTTCAGTTAGTAGTTTTAACCATTTCAGTTAGCTGTCTGTCCAATGAGTGTGTTTTTGCGTGTGCATACCATGCATCTATGTCAAAAAAGAGTGAAAAGAGTAGTTACTTCCATCTCCTCCCTCTGCCTACACACAGGTGTTCATGTGCACAATCCTGATTCATGAGATTGTAACAGCTGACTTATTAAGATAATAGTATTAAGTTGCTTCTGTAAAATCGCTCGGTTTTAATGATGGGATTCACTCTTATAATTTCTAAGGCCATCCTAGGTGCAGGATGTTTCCGCTTCTCCCTAAGGCTTACTGGGCCTGGGTTGAGTCTGCTAATGTCAGGTTGCTTCCAATGTATTCTAGACTAATGGCCTTCTAGATAACAAAAACTAGATGTGGCTCTTTGAATTTGCATCTCATCGTGCAAGGATATTGAACCAGCTTCCAAAAGATGTGTAATATAAATTTTGGTGTGTTACTTAGATCTCTCGGTTTAATGCATGATTTTGTCTTTGAAGCAATGCCAGGTGTTCTGTTTCCCTTCTGCCATGCTGAGAGGCAAGTGGAGTTTCCTTGCAGTTCTCTGTGGTCCATGGTGCTCTAAGGCTACACTACACATTGAATATGTTCCTTGCTATTAAGCCTTCTTGTTTCTGGTGCTTCCTGTAATGCCTATCCATTAAGTTTGAGTTGTTTCAGTGTTAACTGAAGTGATGTAATAAAAGCATCTGAAGTTAAAGGAAAATAACAAATTATTTTTGTGTTTTTGGAAGTGTTTTTTCACACTCATTGGCAAGATATGGCCAAAAAAGCTTTGGATTTCCAACCTGACAGCTGATACTTACAAATACTTTTCGTACCCTATTGCTATATTTGAAGGCATTTATTAAATTCCTGATTTATTAAATCCCAGGTATATGGGGGTCCAGCTGTCCTTGGAAACAAGGACTTGTGTGGAACCAGGGTTTTGGCTTCAACACTAGCCTGTGAGAGAAAAGCACAGGAGAGTCAAAACAAAGATGGATGGAAGAGAGAGAGCAGCAGTGACATATATGGATTTGGTTACCCATTATACTTGTGTAGTGCTGCTTGTCTGTGTTGCTTTTCCTTCCTTATCCCTCCTCATTTATGCACAGTACCTCTTAAGGTAGTGTCCTGTGGTGTTCAAAGAAACAATCTGAAAGTGACATGATCTTTAGTCTTAACTACTGGAGCTTGAGGTTTCTCAAGTCTTTGAAGTCTTGAATATACTATTTTAAATGAAGCCTAGATTTAATCTTACCTTTGAAAAGAGCATACAGTGTAAGACATTTACCATGTAAGTCAAATGCATTGGTCACTTGGTAAAGGTGGAGTGTTACCATCCTGTTTACTGTTCAGTTTAGTTATCTGCCAGAGAAACTAATTTTTATGAACAAAAAGACCGGGTAGTTGTTTCACAGATGCATGCCTGCTTGTGAACACCTTATTTCTTTTTGCCCTACTGTAAGCAACTGAATGTTGGAAGAAATTGTATATGCATCAAAATAAGTTCAGAAAAAGAATGATGGGTGATTGTGAGGTGGTTCTCAGCCTCAGACACCCTTAACCACGTGAGTTTTACACCCAAAGATGTGAACAGATAAATCGTAACCAAATCTCATTGTGGAGGTGGCTATTACTGAGATCTTCTGAACAGAATAACAACTGAAAGATAGTAGCCTTTTATAGATATATGTATACAACTTTATAACTCAGTAGCACTGAGTCCCATTTTGAGATACTTCTAATAGAACTATTAGATTAATTTACTAGGAAAAAAGATTCATTTTTTGTGGAAATGCCCTACCCTTAGAAAAGTTGTAGAACAAAGAAAACATACAAACAAAAAAAATACCTAATTGCTTTGAAAAATATCTGAATGTGATCTTGAAACTATGAAATAAATCCAGGAAACTCCACTCAGAAAACATGGAAATGAATAATTTCTGCTTTCCTGATGTCTCTCTAGCCACCCGCACTTCTTTTTGACTGAGACTAATAATCACATTTAAGTCACTGTTTTGGATATTTTTGGATGCCTCTAGAAAATACATATCCATCTCTTCCTTCAAAGTTGCTACAGACACTGACTGGAGACAGTGTAAAGCATCTGCTGAGATGTAAACTCACGGTCTTAAATATTAACAGAGGTCGTGTACAATTGACTAACTGGAGAATGATCAAAGCCTGAAAATTAATCTCTTCTGAAATAATTGAGTGGTGTTGTCAAAATTCTAGTCATAATGTTTAGGAGGGACACGTTAGTCAGCACCAGGACAACACATGTACTTTTAGTCGCTGTGCCTCCAGAGAGCCATTTATAGCAGCTTCACTAAGTTATGGCAGAGTGTCCATCTGCAACAGTCCTACAGATCTTCATCAGGTACCACTGTGATAAGTACCACAGATTCAGAGGGTTTTACAGTTCCTCACACGTTCATCCTCATAAAATTATGTAGAGCTAGAGAACTGCTATACCCTTGTGCTCAGGGAGAACTTGGGTACAGGTAGTGGGGAGATATAGGTCACCTATGTACATTCAAGCTGGTCACACAATACTTCCTTTGTACCTTCACACATCTTTTTAGGATGTGGTTCATCTGGTCTGTTTTAGATGAAAAGTTTCTTTTTTCCCCTTGGGTGACTATCTCAGCTCTATGGTTGTCAGTAACTGACCCAACCAGAGAAGCTAATGGCTGGTAATTTAGAGTAAAAAGGCTTCTAATTTCTCATGCCCGTGTGCCTAAAAACCTCATGGGCTTTCTTAGTGCTGACGTTGTGCTAGGTGATCCAGGAGGTGTGTGGCATTGTAGGGTACTACAACTGCAGAAAAAATCAATATACAGTTCCAATAAATTATGCAGTGGAATCACTGTTAAAAGATATCCTTAACAGTAACAAGTGAGTAGCTGGAGACACCGTCTCATTGTTGTTGGATCAGCTGCAAACTGTCTGCAAGGCATGTGCAGCCAGATGGGAAAGCTCAGCAGTGAGACAAGTTACCAAACACAGTAATGAGGCTGATGTAAATGTGTGGAGAATCAAGCATTCAGGTTCACTGTTCTGCTTCGACAGAAATGTCTTCCTGGCAGTTAAAGCCTGGTCCCTAATGGGAAAATATTGCCTTCAGTTCTTCCTTAACATGAAAATACTCTGCAGACAATGCTGGCTTCCTACACCCTGTGCAGCATATTTCACTGCTGCAGTAAAAGTGGAGCAAGCCATAGTGTGGGTGGGGATGGTGAAAGTGATCACCATGATCAGTACAGAATTGTGATGTGTCTTTCCCATTTATTTTATGTTACAGGTCACAAAGGGAGAGTCCTGCATATAGCCCTGAGCCCAAATCAGCACAGGCTCTTTTCTCTAGCGGCTGATGGAATAGCTTGTCTGTGGAAATGCCACGAGTCTGGGGAGAGCAAGCAAAGCAGCAAGGCTTTTTCTAAGGGTTATTTGAGCTCATTCTTGTGACTTCTTTTCCTTGAAAGCAAGTGATTAAATGTATTCAGCCCATTCAATAAAGCAAAATATGTACGTTCCTTCCAATGGAAACATGGCAAAAGATGGTACAATTTTTTAAAGAGAAAGTGATTTTCCCCATTAATCTGTTATGTGAAATGTTAGTAGCTTGTCTTACCCTAGAGGAAAAATATTTTAACTCTGAAGAATAACATCATATTTATTTTCATTAAACTAGCAAGCATGGATGGAATCCACCATTTGTCAAGTGCCAGCATAAAGTCTTAGGTCCTGCTTTTAGCTAGGATTCTTGTAAGGAGTTTTACATCATCTTAGCCTCCCCCTTGGGAACCACATGTCATGTTCATGTAAATTGCCTGGAATCGTTTGTAGACTAGGATCAGCAGAGAGAAGTCCAGGGGTCTGTGTTGTTCTGTGTGTCACATAAATCATTGTACAGAATCTGTATGAATATTTCTGGAGACCTAGGTAACTAAGTGTGTAACTGTAACGAAATACAAATAATTTCTTGGGAATTCCTTATTGTTTTCATAGTGATAATGATAACTAGCTTAATTAGAAAACCATCTTTATTGGATTTTGAATTGTTTCTTTTCCTTAAACCCACCTACTATGTTTGACAGGGATTGAAAATATAGAAATATAGATAATTGCATAATATGCAATTATATGCATAATTATGTAATCAACTGGTTAATAAGGCAAATGGCCATATCCAAGGAACTGTGCTGTCTGGATCAAACACAACAGTCAGTTCATTCATTCCTTAAGGGTACCAATTTAATTCTGGGTGTCAGCAAGCCTGGCAGCTCTCAGTCTCTAATGAGTTGTGTTTAGTGCTCACAAAGAAAAAACCTATTGAACTTCAGTAGATGTTTGCTTCTGTGAGACTTGTACACATTCAATAGCTAAGTAAGGGTTTCAGGATGGGTCTTCAGATGCTGTTCAGATAGAACTTGGTAGTGCTGTTCAAAACATCTTCTATTCCACAGATGTCTTCGGAGATTTGCTTGCATTATTAGGAATGAGGAGGGGCAAGGCGTAAGGAGTCTCTCCTGGATTTGATATTAAAAGCCCCATGAGCTCAGAAACTCATATTCTTTGGATTTTTTTTTTTTTTTTTTTTTTTTCCTGCTGGAAGTTTATTCAGAGCATTTCCTGTAGCTGGGGAAGAATGGGAGAATAGGGGAGTAGAGCCATGTCAGACTATGGAAAATTATACTGTAATCAAATGCATGAAAAGAGATAGGCAATGTTAACAGGAGAATAAGTATCTCTGGAAATGAATGTGAAACTGTCATGTATTTAGTTCTCATAATTTTAAAAACCTCATCTTCTGCTGTTCATAAATCACGTGGTTACTAACTTTAGGTCTGGGAGGTTAACACCACTCATCTTCTTTACCTAGTAAGATATTAATTTACAAAAAGTCTGCTACTAAACTGCCAGTTTCTGACTTTATCTCCTGTGGTCTTCAGGCTAGAAGATGGGAACTTTATGAACTGAGAAATGACTACCAAAAAGCTGATGTCTAAGAATGGAAAATAACTTAGGCTGTGCCCAGCGTTTAATATGAGCACGTTTATTGCAGTAGATTGTATCAAACATTTAGGGTATTATTTTAAATATTTAAAACAATGTTTTAAGTAATTAAAAAGTTTTTTAAAATGTAAACCTCCCATTTTTTTAATATTTTTTAAATAAAAAAAAAAAGGAGTGAAATTAGTCTCATTATTTCTTTTTTTTTTTTTTTTTATTCTCCCAGAATCTCTTTCCTTTGGCAGCACCTAAATTATATTTGCTTGCCCAATACAGGGAGAAGATTATAACACAGGATGGGGAGCTGTGGTAAGGGAAGAGCTGATCAGTACTGAAGCCATGCATATTTTGTTAGATGCTCAACTGTCAAAATAATAAAATCCATTTCTTTCAATCTGAGAAGTGCTCATATCTTTGCTAATTATGGTTGTTCATTGTGGAATGGCAAGGCTGTATTACCCCAGAAGTATTTTAACATGATGTCTAGAAGTGGGAGAAGCCACTGATTTCAGTAGAACTAACCAACAGCCCATAAATACGAGAGAATCCTGTATGTGTGACCTGTAGCTCTCTTCTGTGAACATGTCTGAGAAAGCCTTTAAGCATGCATTTAAATACCAGACTCATCTGGAGTGCAAGTAAACATATACTGGAGTGCCTTTTCAGGATGTGCTTCTTTTCTAGATAGGTTGCTTTACGCCCAGTTTCTTTCACACGGCGGATACCTGTCTTCTTGTAACAGGAATCTGAGGACTTGAGTGGGCAGTGTGATTCTGCTTCACTAATCTTTTGCAGCAATGTTGCTGAATACTTGCAGGTGTAGAGCGTGCAGTTGCTGAAAGCAGATCATTGTTCTTGCATAGCTGCCTCATTCTGCCAGTGCAGAGGTCCTGGCATACAAGTCTTGGGCAAAATGTGAAATCCTGCTTTCCTGCCTGTAGAACATGGCATAGTTTTAGCTCAGTGCCTGTTTTATGCCTGGTATGTTGTTCAGGCCCAGACTGAGACAAAAATCAGAACCCATCTCTAAGAGGGCAGCTTGTTCTGCACGTGAGGTCTGTGTGCACTGAAGGCTGAGTCTCCAGAAGTGGCACAGAGGATTAAGGAAACCTTAAGCTGATGAAATTCAGGCCTTCATCCCCACAGTCCTTTCCAAGGTGGAGCCCTGTATAAGGCATGGAATCCAAAACTTTAGGACAAAAATAATTTTTACAAGAGGAAAAACTTTGTTGCTATACAGGGTGTGCATATACCAATATGACAAAGTGATTGTCATGCGGTGAAATGGATTGAAGAAACTCAGACAGGAGAATCTTTTTTTTTCCACACATAAACCCACTAGTCTAAGCAGACAGACTATATGTTCTGACTTGGTGCTACCTACATAAATGTTGCATTAGTTTGTGTAGAGCAGTTTATGCCAGCTCATTCGCCCCAGTTCCCTCCAATAGCCTCAGTGAGTTCAAATTGTTACGTGTGTGATGTCACAGTGACAGCAGACGATCATAACGTTTTTCCTAACTAGTACATAAACTTGTATGGGTTCCATCCCGTAGTGGTGGTACTGCATTGGGAATGGGCTCATGATCAGAAAAAGTCCCCACTAAGATGAAAACTCAGTTGTATCTTCTTGCTCTCATTTCCATTTTTTTCCCTACTGTTTTCCACTACTGGCTGTGGTGACAGAGACTTGAATATTTTCTTTATTATGTAAGTTCAGTTCCACTGGCTCATTTTGTATGATCCACTAAGTCACACTTACGTAAAAAAAATAGGCTTTTAAAGTATTTTGGGGTTGATTCTAAATGTCAAGCTAGACCAGGAAGGCTGCATATTTTTTCTTGCACATTTCTTCATGCATTATACATTTGGTCAGAACCTCTCCTTCCTGATCTAAAGTTCTGCAACACTTGTGTCAGCACTACTGCCTGAAAAGTGGAGAAATACTGAATGATAGGCTTTAAGTGGCATTTTCTAGTGGCAAGGACACTGCCTGTGACTTCTAGGGAACAGGAAGAAGCAGATCAAAGAGGAAGCAGTAAGATGAAAAGTGCTATAGCAGGATGAAAGAAAGATAGTGAAAAAACGGGCAAAGATTAAAGAAATTAAGACTAATGTATGGGAAGAGTGAAATAGCCCTAGGTGATCAATTGCCTTGAAGATAAGCTACAGATTTTTCACTAGATTGATAAGGATATTTTGGTTTTCTGAAAATTTGTAGAATCAATTCTTCCCCAAGCAAGGATTTGGTAGTTTGCAAGAATGGAAGAAGCCTGGACTTGTCCTACTGATTTCCTGTGTGTTTAAAGACAGAATCAAAGTCATTGCTTTGAGTGTCAGCACCAGTCAGTGGGACAAATTCTCCTCTTGGTTTCACTGCTGCAGTCTTATGTGGCTGGGAATCCTCACTGCTCCTGCTTCACTTCTCTGCTTGTGTGTGGCTCTGCATCTGTGCTTGTGTGTTTGTTTCTGTGTTCAGCCCAAGAGTCAGAGCAGACATTTTAGAAATAACAAATGTGAAACGTTTTGACTGTGTAACATTTGTAATGGACAGAAAACACACATATTCAGCACCAAAAATTTCAGTGGAGATCCCATAGTTTAGGCCATCTCTATCCTCACCCTTCATTATTCTTCTGTGACAAAACTATTGTTTCTTCTCAACAAGATCAGATGAAGGCTGTTGTGTAAAAAGTTTTAGTCTGTATTTTATCAAGTTGTGTTTAGAAGTGGTGTTTAATTCCTTATCATGAGCCAAACATCCATTTTTTAATAAAAATCAGTACTAGGTTTCTCCCTTTGAATGTTCTCAGCTTTCTCTTAGCTAACACCTACTTCCAAGTAAGAAAACCCCAAAGCAACACAAAATAAAGCCAAGCCAATTTTGAGGTGTTCAGGGCCTTGAAAATGCCCAAAACAGTCAATACAGAGATGGGCAGAAGCGTTTTTCACAATGGGTCTGTTTGCTGTTTGACAAGTGGCTGTTGAAGAACTTAAAAATTTCACTGCATATCTGAAACAGCAGTAGTGGCATCATAAAATTAAGATCATTTTGTGTTACAAATGGCAGTTTATCATACTGATACTCCAGCTGAGTGGTTTTCTGTCATTTTTCTGGAGGGTGGGTTTTCAGCTGATTTCTTAACATACTATTGCTGATCTTGGTGGACATTGCAAACATGCTGCACATCCAAAACATGTGTAAAGAGACTATCAGTACTGCCACAGAGAGAAGTTTCCACATGAACTGACAGCTGCAAGCAGTAGATTTTTATTGCCATTTCTTTATTAAATGCAAAGTACATAAGGGGGTGGAATCTAGAAGTTTCAAATGCAAGATAGTTAGGAAATGCACAATTATTAGGTCCCACAGCTGAAGGTTGTTGCTGAAACTTTATTTTCTGAAGCTTAGCAGACCACCTGTGAAATCAGGAGCTCTGCTGCAGAGAAAC